TTTATATATTTATTTATATATTTATTTATATATTTATATATATATATATATATATATATATATATATATATATATATATATATATATATATATATATATATATATATTTTTATATATTTATTTATATATATATATATATATATATATATATATATATATATATATATATATATATATATATATATAAATTATATACATAAATACATAAATATATATAGACATACATACATACATACATACATACATACATACATACATACAAACATTATACAATAGGGAAGGCGGAATGTGAAGAGAAGACAATGAGACTATCAGGTATGAGAGGGCTGGCCATCCCTGACAGACGTGAAGATATACTCTAGTTTGGCTATCAAGAAGTCATCTCATTTTACAAGACAAATGTGTCTTGAAAAACAAAATAGAATGACTTACTTGCTCTTGCTCCAATTTGCTGATAAGGCCCTCAAGCTTGATTTTCCCTTGGTTGAGGTCTGCCTGTTGTTGCCGCAAAACTGATACCTCTGCCTGAGAGCCTCCATAGCTGTCTCGAAGTTTGGCTCGAACACGGTCACTTACAGCCGAGATAAGGGATGCGCGTATGTGTTCTTCTGTGATTGTGCCAGTGCTAGCTGTTGTGCTTGTTCCAGTCACCCCACTAGTCTCTGTAGCCTGCTGAAGTAAATTATTGAGAATTTTCTGAAATACCACATGTGCTCAGCCACCAAGGAGTCTATCAGTATGCCCTAATGAATGCCCATGATTTCCCCATTCCTTAAATTTGCGGGAAATGTGTTTTTTTTTCTAATACTATTTATATTGCTAATGTTCTTATTGAAATTATGATTATTGAATTGTTATAAATATATGAACAACATTAAAAACAATAAAATAATACAAATAAAGATTTCCAAATTCAAGGAAGTGGGTAAACAGGTGAGAAAGATAGGACTAATAATTGAGCCCATGGTGACTATGCACTTGTAGAGCCATCTATGTGTAAAGACAATAGATGAAAATTATATTACCATAGGCATGGCATGTAGTCTTGCCACTGCACTAATTAGGTTAATATGAAACGACTATGAACATACATTTCTATAACATACTAACATCTGCATCTCAGATAACTCACCCCAGTAGGGATGCTGGATGTAGTGGACGGGTAAGGAGGGTATGTTATGCCCCCAGCAGAATAAGGTGGTGGATATGATGTGGGGGGCTGAGAGGGTGGGTAGCCTGCTGTGCTTGCTGGAGGATAAACTGGGTATGGTGTGCTCGATGGAGGATAGCCTCCGGGTTGTGTGGGGTAGGGTGGGTACACGGTATTGGCACCAGATTGAGCTGGGCTGTATGGCATATTTGGTCCTCCTCCTGGCATTGGCATGTAACCTGAAAGACATTTGATTTCTGATTACACCAAATTATCTAAGTGTAATAAATTCAAATATCTTAATCACTTCATATTTGAAGATATTGTGCTTGGCTCTCAATATAAGAATAATAGTGTTGCAGCTGAAGTGAGGTTTAACTGGAATGAAGTCCAGTACAAGTTACAAAAGACAGGAACAAATCCTGAACTGCTCCTGTGCTGTGACTGTCTCAATCAATCTCTACATCAAAGATTTTAGATGATAAACAGTGATAAACAATAGCTACACAAAATGAAAAGTTTTCTCAGACCTCTACCCTTCCACAACAAAGTTTTCAACCTTCTCCTATTATAAATGCTAAGGAGTATGAGTAGTTTCAAGAAGGGGGAACAATAAAAAAAAAGTGAAGAAATTCCTCTTACTGCATCTAGAATTCTCTCTGGAAGTCTTGCATTGTTAGGTAAGTTGCTTATATTGAAAGCGCTACAACAAGATGACTAAAAACAATTTATTTCAACAGTATAAAACACAAGAAGCATGGATATACAATTACTACTATACAAAATCTTTATCTAGTTATATTATTTGTGTCCTTATCATGTTGTTTGCTTCATTTTCACATGGATTCTACTATATACTATATGCAATGATCATCCAACTATTCTCTTTATTCTACCTTCAGCAATAAGTATTTCATTAACTTCAGCAATAAGTATTTCATTAACTTCTTACCCAAATACTCAACAAAATCACAGAATACACACACAAAAACAAATGAGAGAAATAAAAAGAAGGAAAGAAGGTAAGAAAAAAAGAAAGAAAGAAAGAACGAAAAAAGAAAGAAAAAGAATGAAAGAAAAAAGAAAGAAAAAAAGAAGAAGAAGAAGAAGAAGAATTGTATAAAATATAAATGTACCAAAACAAAGCATCCACCGAATCCCTTTACAATCTAGCACTAACCAGGAGAGTTTGTCGGATATGGTAGTGGGTATGGCGTTGCACCAGGCGGCTGAGCAGTCTTTGGCTTTGAGTAGACAGGTGGCATCTCACTGAAGGTCATTATCATAATCTGGATGAGGCCCGGTAAATCTGAGGAATTCTGAAGGAAATAAAAAGAATATGAGGTATGAAATGTATGTAATGTAGTTAATGGTGAAACTGTACACTGAATACTTGAGCTCAATTTTTAACCCATTCACGACGGGCTGTCACGTGTACGTGACATGCCCACTGTGAGTTTACTTGTTTTTATTGTTTTTACACATAGATGGCTACACTTGTACTAAAACACCAATGAGCCAGTTACGAGTACTGCCCGTCTCACCCGTTTACCCTTTTCTTTAATTTACGAAAATATTTTACGTTATCTTATTTTGTTATTACTATTTTTAATAACATTACAGTAATTATAATGTTTATAAAAAAAATTACACTATCGATATTCATAGCACTAGTAAAAAATACATTTTCCTGCCAATTCAAGGAAAGATGAAATCAGGTAAGGCAGAGCCATTTCACAAAAAATATAAAAAATGAGTACAGCTTTTTCCCCATTTTTTATTTTATTTTCCCCGTTACATATGGGTTAAGTAAAGAAAACCATATTTGCAATTGTAATGCACGATCTCTAATCTCATTTAACCAAAGTTAAATTGACTGCTTCCCTTCATACAACTTAACTTGGTTCAAGTCAACCATTAGAAAGCCTAAAATTCAACAGTAAACAGAATATCTTACCGGATTCCATTCATGTAAGTAAGGCAGATACACTTTCCCATTCTGATCCACATGACGTGAAGCTTTTATAAGCATGTCGGGAGTGGGCTTGACATACACCATCGGCGAAGACAAAGGATGGTTGTCCAGGAGCCAGATGCATATTGGGATGTTGTATGTGGTAC